ATCAGTTTTGGAAGGCTGCTGCTGGTGGAGAGTGGCGTCGCTAAGAGCTGTGCAGGGAGTTGTGTAAGAGCTCTGCATCTCCCTGCCAAATTCTTAGCAACCTGGGACACTCTTGACGGTGGTCCCACTGAGCTAGGGGTAGAGCCTGGACTTAGGGAACCTGCAAGAGATCACACCCACCATCTGCGACCTGAAATTAGGATACTAGTTTTGGGTAAGCTTAAAGGCCCAGTTGACCCAACATAGACATTATAAGTAACTAGGAGTGTGTGATCTGAACTGCCGGACAAATTTTGGGCACACTTTCCCTTTAATTTTGACATTTCTTTAACTTTTGGGGTAATTTCCTGTTATCCTTCCTTTTCCCCTGAAGGTAACAGAACAACATCAATGTACTATAAGCATGACATCCTCCATTGTAAACCCTGACTGGCTCTTGCAATTGGCCAAAGCTGATACAACCTGGACAAACCAATATGAGCCGCCATCAAACCAGCAACAAATAGACAACCAAATATGCGCAAAGAACATAATGCTAGACTGTTACCAGTGACTGATGTGTATTAAGGCACACTGATCCATACCTGGCCATATGTAGGATTAGCGATACCTTGCTCACGCTGCTGCTTCACCGTAAACATTTATATTACAATTAAAAGAATAAAAATTGTCTACAATGCTTTTCTGCATTTAACATGGCCAACCATATAACAAAACAACTGTACAATATCCTGTAAGATCACCATGCACTTTACAATCTTACCGCACAATTAACTTAGGATTTAATGTTATGTTTATGTACGATGAGCATCTACCTAAACTACCCAATCAAACAGGCCCTTGCCCCACATAGTTGTTGGTAGATCTAAAGTAATATTTGAATGTATGTGGTGAGCTTTAGATTTACCAACACTGTGAAATGGGTGTAAAACCCCAAAACAAGCCATCTTATGTATATCCAATATGGCAGACCTTCACACCACGCCGTTGTTGGTAGAGCTAAGATGGCTCATTCAGATTCTATAGGGGATGACCAGCTTTAGATACATTTAAAAGACTGTTCCACTCAATGATTAAAAATCCAGTGTTGGGTACAGGTCATGAACAAGCTGGGGTTAAGTTTATGTTAAATTAGTCAACAGGAAATTTAGCGTCAGCGCCCATTGCAACCACTCTTGTAACAAGTTCATTCTCAAAATCTTTAAAGATTAAAAGAATAAAGAATAAAAAAAACTTACCCTTGCAATGGCTTAGCCCCGGACCAGTGGTTGCCGCCACTCAACTCTCTCCCCGTCCGAGCCGGCTATGGAATATCCCTTGACATCCTCACGTCTAATGGAGGTCAATGGACCTGCATGAGATGTAATGACAGCAGTGGTCCTTAAACCGCCCAAGCCTGGGGAAGAAGAAGCTGTGGGGACCAGTGGTTGCCGGCACTCAACTCTCTTCCAGTCTGAGCCGGCTATGGAATATCCCTTGGGATTTTCACGTCTAATGCATGTCAATGGACCTGCATAACTTAATGACATCAGTTGTGGATAGACTGCCCAAGCCCCGGGAAGAAGAATCTAGGGGACCGGTTTTAGCTGCCTGGTGGGACCGAGGATCAAATGAGTATATCTGCTTTATCTGAGCCTGCTAGACAAAAGAGCACTTAACACCTGCAGTGCCAGGGTAGCCCCACTGCAAGGGTACGTTTTTGATTTTCCCGGAGTTCTTTAACCTGCTCTTCTAATTGGATGCGATGGCCAACCTAATATTCTTTTGCTCCAGTCAACCACACCAACATAATAGCCAGCTTTGGTTGTCCCAGCAAAGATCTAGAACAAAGGATGGTACTATGATGTCTCCTCTGCTGCCGCCTTTACTATACTGGTCTGCTTTGAATTCCCCGGAGACAATTGCGTCTTCTAATCTTCTCACAGGATGAAGCAACACCTTAAGCCCTCATTCACACGAGAAACGGGCGGCCCGTACAAATCCGTGCTGTGTGCGCGGCCTTAACGGGCCGCTCTCGGGAAGCACAGGTGCTGCGTGTGATTAGTACGCAGCAGCCTGTCCTTTTCTATGTGAGGACGCGGCCGTACGCAGCAGCCTGTCCTTCTCTACGTGAGGACGCTGCCGTACGCCACCCTATGCTCACCTGACCTGCAAATCATATTCGGCTTTCAGCCAGCGATGCTATAAAGGAGTACCGGGTATCAGACACAGCTGAATGAGTAAAAGAAGGGGCGTCTACTCTTTCCCACCCACCAGAGACTGGAGTGTCTTAGTAAATCAGTCAGTGAGTCAGCCAGCAAAGCGTACAGGAAGTGCTGGGTGAATCTAGAATGCACCTTGAATCCATTATTTTTGCTAAATAAAAACAGTCACAAACATTGGATACATTTGACAAAACGTCGGTTCAAAAACATCTAAAGCTTATTAGGATTAAAAAGTGGCCAAAAGTCCATCATACTTCCTCTTTCTATGCCCGGCCAACACTTTTTTACTTAGTTTTGGATAGAGTGGGAAAGAATTAGAACCACTGTCAAGTTTTTATGGCCACCTGGGACTCTCACAGGGATTTCCCCCAACTTCCTGTTCCGCTGGCAACGTTTTACCAGACAAGAAGTGAGGGGAAGTCCAACAAAAGAAAAACGTTTTTTGTTTAGTAGCGTAGGGGAAGGCCAGAGCCCACGCCAGATTTTTTTTATTCCTGCTTAGGTCCTTGTTGCAGATTTTCTTTCACTTCCCTGTTGTCAGCAGGACAGGAAGCAAGAGTAAATCTACCTAATGTAGACCCAGATCGCTGTATCGGTACAACAGAGTTCCAATCCTTCCCCACTTTACCCAGAACTAGAAAGAATGTTTTGGGCTAAACATACTATCGGGGGCATCCCCTAGCTTTATTGCCACTTGAGGGGCGGGGGGTCCGGAGGGGGTTGGAGCTGGTGGTGCATGCCAACTGGGGTGGAATCTGGTTGGGGACGGTATGCCGGCCAGAGCATCCTCTCAGCTCCTAGCAACCAGTGATGTCACCAGTTGCCAGGAGCTGAGCCAGAGCATCCCAGGTTCTTACACATATCCCCGCCCGGTCCTTAGCAACCTGGGATGCTCTGATGGCAGTCCAACCAGCAGCCCAAACTCCTCCTCCCAGGGATATCCATAGCATTTTCACCGCCTGGGAAGAAGGATGCATACTGGAGGGAGGGGTGAGGCTTCTGTATTCGCTTCCTGCCCAACTTTGGTTGGCGTCCCGCTCAATGGCATCACTGGTTGCCAGGAGCTGAGCGGGACACTCTGGCTGGAAAGAGTGCTGGAGGCACACTGCAAACATTGTGCAGCAGAGCGGCCATGCCACTCTGCCTGCCTCCCCCCCCCACGTGGCCCAAAGAGATGCCGCCTGAGGCAACAGCTCATTATACAGACGGCCCATTATACGGACGGCCCTGCATAAAATACACTCCTGCTTCAAGCGCAGGGTAACCCCATATCTGGGGTTACCTTGCGCTTGAAGCAGGTGGACCGCAGAGCTGAAAGGAGCTGGGACCCAACAAGTGTGAAGCTTATGATGGGATTATAGGTGATGACTGCACTAAAATCATACAGATCCATACAGCAAACTATTTCAGAGCTTCCACTTACAGTTCAGTGTGTACGGAGCCTAAATGCAAAAATACAATCACAGAAAAAAAAACAGTCCAAAAGTAAAAAAATTAAAATAAAAAAAGTGCAACACAAAACAAAATAAACCCCTAAAAACTAAACACCCCGGAAACCTTGACAGCCATTTAAAAAATAATTACAGGAG